CCTTGTTATCCTTTGCGATATTCGGGAACTGCAACAATGCGTCGAGATGCGTCTCGATAATTAACATCTTATTATTTATCGTATGTATTCTTCAGAAGTGTCCAGGCGTTTTCGTAGTTCTCATCCGATATGCTGAATCCTTGAACCACCTGGAGCGCCTCTCCCTTTAGGATGCCAACTAAGTACTGGTGTTTCTGCATCGGCGATAAATCCTTATCGCTGTGTATCGTCGTTTCGAAGCTGTTCTTAAAGAACATCCATTTTGTGTAATCGCCGCTGAATTCGGGCAATTTGATTTCGGGCAACTTCGGCTTTGTCCTCCGTTGTCCCTCGTCCGTTGGTTCCAGTGCGCTGTGTTGACTTGCTGCTTGTTGTGCAGCAACCTGCTGTTTCGCCGCGACCTGCTGTTTCGCAGCCTGCCGATCGATGATATTTTGCGCTGTTGCCGCAGCCTTGTAGTAACAGCTTTCGAACAGATTTCGTTCCGCTTCGCCTTCCGCCTGTATCGCATCTGCTTGCTCGTCCGTCTGTGCTGGCCGAGCATCTATCTCGCCTTGAACTTCCTCGAATTTACCCCATAATTCTTCGAGCCTTCGTAAGCGGACTCGTGCGTCTGCCGCGCTCTTCACGTCCGCCGAATCAAAATACAACTGTATTCTTGTGACTTGCCCCTTTACGTAGGCACGCTTTTGCTTTAGCTTTCTCATATCCGAATCCGACTTCGACATCTCGGATTCAGTGATCTGGAACGTACTTTGACTAGAAAGCGATAGGAGACTGACTCACTCACCTTCCTTGCTTCGATGCCCACGCTGCGTCGATCCGCCGCGTTGAGGTTATGGAAGTTTTGCCTTGTTTCTCGCCACGGCGAGTGTGCAAGTTCCGTTCCTCGAATTGCCAATGTGGTATATCACCAAACTTGCGTAGTGATATAATGCTTACGCGTGAGCCTGCCTCGCCGCGTTGTATATGCGTGTGACGCTTTGTTTCGCGCGTCCTATCTTGCTGCGTGTCCGACGTCCTTTGGACTGCGGATGCTGTACGCGTGAGCCTGCCTCGCCGCGTTGTATATGCGTGTGACGCTTTGTTTCGCGCGTCCTACCTTGCTGCGTGTCCGACGTCCTCGGACTTGCTGCGCGTCCGACGTCCTTCGGACTGCGGATGCTGTACGCGTGAGCCTGCCTCGCCGCGTTGTACCTCCTCGTATCGCGATATGATGCTGGAACTATCTTTCCTGCGATGCACCGAAGCACGGGTCGTCACCGCCTTGCCGGTGTCGCGCCTTCGTTCTTGTCCCGGTTTTTCACGTTCAGTCTCTAATACCCCGGTCGTGTATTCACTCTGCCATTATGTTGGGCGCCATTATGTTGATTGTGGGAATGCTCGCAATAAATGCCGCTTTTAGTTTAGCTGAAATGCTTTATTTTATAACCAACTTATCTCTTTCGCCGCACAACATCTCCGCCATACTTTTCGTTACTACTCTCCTTCTCTTCCCCTTCTCCAACGCTAGCCTCGACGACCTGCCACTGCGCAAGTCAAATCCGCTCTCGCGAACAATTCCTCTGTTGCTTCAGATTGCGCAAATTTATCTATATGTAACACATTTCTACATGTTTTAAGTGCACTCGCAACGGATAAACTAAATATTTGGGCTGCTAAGCGAACATTCATCTTTTTTTTGTGATATTCTATATGCTGGTTTCGCATTTTGTTAGCCATATGTAAGCCTTTGTTTTCTTGAATTTCATGCAGAGATACGATATATTTCCATGATATATTCTCGTTATTCTTATTTATAATATTTTTGTAATCCCCAAAAGTGTTCCGTATCAGTTTTAACATGTGACACGGATCGAGGAATACATATATCTTCATCTTGGAGATAGGATGTTCAAACCATGTCTGTAAATTGTTAGGATTTATGTTACATTGTAAAATACGTATCATACTTAAATTAGATGCTGCACCATCACTCGTTAAAGTTTTTATATGTATTCCTGAATCATGCAACATTGATAAGCATTGATTAACTAAATTAGCTTTTTGTTCACCGTTCATGCCATTAATAAAAAAATAACCAATTGGTATTTTCCATAGCTCATTAATGCCGACAATTAAAAATACTAGCGCTTCTTTTGCAATACTACACTCCTCGCTCGCAATATTATTTCCTACATCACAATAACCGGAAAACTTTTTTCCATCATATTCGATATGCTGTTTTATTGCCATTTCGTCTAACATAAGAGCTCCAAGTAACACATTATTTGAACTTTTTACACGTTCTTTAATATATGTTAAAGCTTCCTTATTAAAACCGGGTTCACCATCTACACAACAATACCATTTGCTTAAAGTTTTTGGATGCGGAAGGCATGAATTAAAAGTTTCTCTAACGTACGAATATGCTCGTGGTGAATAGTAGTGCAACGTTATTGCAAAAGTTCGTAATGCAGGTGAAAACTTGCGAGTGAGTGGTATTCCTTTTGATTTTTTAATTACTCGTTTAAGTAAATTTGCATTTCCTGCTGCAATACCTTTTAAATTATAAAATTGTTCTTCTTGGAGAAAATTCTTTTCCTTTAAATGTTGAAATACTTTTGCCATATTTGCTATCTTTCTTTCCATACGTCTTGTTCTCTGTTTTAGAGCTTTTATTTTGGATTGATAGTGTTTTTTCGTTCTGTTTAACTCTTCCCTTAATTTTACCTTTTCCGGTGAATTATAAATCCTGCGAGGAGATACTGCAGTACCTTTACAAACTGTTAAAGATGATTGTGCTACAAAAGAGAAAACAAAATTTATTATGTGTATTGTAACACATGTATAATAAAAATATTTTTTCTACTACATGTTGAATCCAAAAAATACTTACATATGGTTTGGGTACCTCTTTCTTGCGTATTTCTGGTGGCTATCTTATTATGTATAAATAATTTAGACTATAAATAAGACATTAAAGCTTTAAAATCCATTTATCTTACAAACAAACAAAGCTATCAAAAGAAAATTATTTTAGAAAAAAATAATTTCTATCATATTTGCTGTCTGTAAAACTATGCTTCAATTTTTCTACTATATTCTAAATTAAGGAAGACATTTTGACTTTTTATTTAATTACCTCTTCCTGTATGTTTACCTGTGTAACATCAATGTTCTGTTCTGTGATTATTTGGTCAACATTCATAAGTACAGGTGTCATAGAACCTTTACTTTTCTTAAGTGGTCTGCCATCATTATGTGTCTCTAATTTTCTGGTGCATTGTTTTTTACACAATGTTGATGTTGGGTCAGCTAACTAAAAATATTAACATGCAACGTTTTTGTAATACAAGAAATCAAAAGTTATAAAAGGTTCTATAAATGAAAACCTAAATAAATAAGTTCAATATTAATATTCATCGCTGTCTCAACTTTCGTAATTGTTAATCCGTCAAGTAATGCATTTTATTTTTTATCTGTGAATCCATGTATAATTTGTTAGGTCATTGAAAAGGGCAATACATTAGTATGCCGAAACGTTTGACCATTTCTACATTTTGTTTATCTTTCGTTTAAAATATACATCATATACCAAACATCTATGATACCTCTCAATTGTCTTAATTATTTATTTATTTAATTAGGTTTTTGTAATACATTTTTCATATTTAATAATTAGTTGATATAATTTTTAAAAGTAGTCTTAATCTTAATCTTACAAAAGGAATTGCATCTTCTTTTAAACATATGCGTGTCTCAACAGATCCATAGAAATTTTCTATTTGAAAATGCAAGGAACATAATGCCGAATTTTGTGTTAAGGAACTTTCTGTTATATTTAAAACTGTGCACCACGCTTTTCTTCTTATTTCATTTTTGGGAAAACTACAACATAATACATATAATATCTCACTGAGCATAGTTGACTTCTAAGACATAATCAATGTGATCACTTACCATTATTGTTAATTGTAAAACATAAATAGCCGAACTTATGGATTGTATAATAAGTAGAAACATTTAACCATCTATTAGTTTCATGGAGATTACATACCTGATAGCACATAAGTCTCAGTTATGTTGCAGTTATGTTGCAAAGACGTTTCAATGTCTTTGCAGCATAACTACAACATACCTGAGACATAACAGAGACTTGTTGTGCTATTAGGAATTTTAAGAAAATTTATATATAGGAGACAATATATCTTATTGCTGGACATTTATGAGTGTCTTAAAAAAAATGACAATTTTTTCAATGACAATCCATGAGGAAGGCGTTTATAGGTTATTGTACAAAGAAGGTGAAACGCGTGAACATAGTAATTCTTGGATAATTAATGTAGCATTGTATTACATTGTCTAAATACATTTTTGTTACTTAATATTTGATAACTTAGAGCCTTTATACGATATATTTATATAATATGTCTTTATGTGCATACGTGAAAAATGATATTTTTTGAATCTTTTCTAGTTCCTCTTGTTTCTTCGATTTTCTTGATGATCTGTTGTTGCATCCACTCGCTACACAATGCACCATTTTTTAATTCTTTGTATTCTTTATAAATATATAAATCCGAGATTATGGCACACGTGCTTGCAATGCTTGCAACGAACTTTCTGTGGACTGCTTACCATCACGGAGATAATTTACCATTTACCATGTACAGTTCAATATACTGTACTAAATAATGCCGGCATTATCCGATAGATAGCAGCACGAGTGGCCCATAAAAACATGGCTGACGACGAAATCCCCCTCCCCACCAGTGCTTCACCCCCGCAACCACATGTTCCCTCCTTTACCTCCGTGACGAGGACTTAAAGGCGGAAAAGCGGTTTGATCGTTTGACTAAAATCTCTTGCCGCTATTGCGGGTCTGTTCTCAACAGATACTATTGCGGGCGGTGCGGCCGGTCTGTTCGGCGCGTGCATTAACCGCGAGTAGGATAGAACCGGTCTGTTCTTGTGAGGTTGCGTTACTCAGGTCGGATATCGACGCGGAGTACATATACGGGTGACGCGAAGCATTGTAAGATATGCAATAGAATCGGAAGCGCATTATATAGACGCGCTGCTCTGTCGGAGGTGAGGCGGTCTTATCCATCGTGTAAAGTGTCGCGAAGTATTCTGAAATACGTAATAGACTGGCGTGCGTATTGTGCGATTCTCGCGGCGGGTCGTCTCGGCCGACGGCGTGTGCGATGTACTGGACTCCCGTGCGATAAGTGCGGCGGTCCTCATAAGGACCTTGTATATGGTTAGGACGTTATTAGGTGGTAGTCATCGGTAGAGATGGCGTACTGCATGAAAGATCTTCTGGCGGAGATGAAGCGTGGGCTCCAGGAACATTTAATGGATCCCCTGAGCTTCCGCACGCTCGCATCGAGGGAGAAGCTCATTGGCTGGGAAATTGATGGCACATTGGACTTGCACTCGTCTAAATCAGACGCGGAGTGGAGGTCCTTGTTGGACAAGGTGGTTGACCAATTTCAGAGGGACTTTTACGCCTTCGACGATGACACGTTGGAGTATCTGGAGGCGTGGATGGAGAAGGTGGTTATCCAACCTAAGCGGAAGAAGGGAGGGAAATCGGCCGGTACCCGGACCCCCCCGAAAGTACGCTTAGCTGACGGCGGGACGCAGACGGAATTGCGAGAATCAGCGTCGATAGGCATTCAAACGGAGGAGGAAATCAAGGAGGAGGACGGACCGCCTCTTCAGGCGGTCCGTCCTCCGAGAAGGCTACCCAGACTGAGGGGGAGCCTAATCAGAGGGCGGAGGGACGCGAGGCGGAATCACCGAGGGCACGTGAGCGCTCGGTGATGTCGGTGGCTGTTCAAGTTGACTCTGGACTGGACATGGAATCGTGCCCCGCGAGAGAGGAAAATATAACGGAGCCTAGTTCTCCACGGACGGCTGGGTCCGTAGTAGAGGACAACATTAGTGGTAAACTCTTGCTGGAGCATAGTGCCCAACTGGCCGCTATAAATGAGGGTTTGGCGCGTTTGCGCTCGGACATGGATGTGATAATGGGACGACTTCCTCCAAAAACTACGAGGGATATAATGATCGGCTCCCCGCTGGTTGCCTCTACTCCGGTCACGAGCACCGGCGACACTACTTCCCTTTCGGAAGTGGTAAAGCGGGGGAAGACAAAAAGAAGGACCAAGAGGAAACTCACGGTGGAAGTTGTCTCGAGCGATGTCCGCAAATCGCTTGAGAACGAGACAACGGAGAGGAGGGAATCAACCCCGGTTGGTCCGTTGCGCTCTGGGGCGCGGCGGAATCTCCTGTCTGCGACTGTGCGAGTGCGCGGTCGAGGTGGCACGGCTAGCATGGAGTTGCTGCAGAGGGCGAGAAGCGGGATCCTGCTATCTGAGGTCGGGGTCCGCTCGGTCAGAGTTCGGCGAGATGACGCGGGATTCGCCGTGCGGATTCTGGATCCGGATGCGGCTGCTGGTGCGGAACGTTTAAGCTGTAGGCTGACTGAGGTGCTTGGAGAGGATGCTGCGGTGTCCCTGGAGACGCCGTACAGCGAAGCGATTTTGTTTGGCTTCGACGATTCGGTTGTCATGGAGGATATTAGAGAGGCTTTGCGGAAATTCGACAACTGTCGTGATTTGGAAGTACAGATCGGCTCTCCGCGTCGAATGAGGAACGGCTTAAGGTCGGTCTGGGTGAGGGGCCCTTCCCCTATGATCGCTAGCGTGACTTTGGCCGGACGTGTCGATTTGGGATGGCTATCATCTGCTAAGGTGGAGGCAGTAGCCGATAGGCCGGTGCAGTGCTTCAAGTGCTGGCACTTCGGACATACCAGACTCAAATGCATGGCTGGGATAGATAGGGCCTCAGCCTGCTATAAATGTGGAACGGATGGTCATCACAGCTCAAATTGTGGAAATGAGGTGATATGTGCTATATGCAGAGACTCTCTCTTGTGGTCATCGACTTGGGTCGATTGCATGTGGAGCGCTGCGGGCTGCGAGGAGCAGGACACAGCAACAGAAGACGTGTGGACGCGGATCCGAGGATTCTGCATCATCGGATCAGTAATGGTCGCGCTAGGATACAAGATTGTAAATACCCTGGCATTGAGGGGAAACTGCGCATGAGGTTAGCGTAGCTTTGTTACATAGCGCTGTTTGTAAACGCGTATATGATATTATTAAGTGCGCGCGATATTTGTGGCATTATAATTGTAGGATTCTTCGTCACACTTATCGTCTTGTCGGTCCTGTTTGTGTGCATGGATTTGCGTGTAGGCATAATAAGATGTACACTGTAGCAGGTATGTGGTTGTCCATAATGGGGGGAGACACCTAGCCCTTTTGATCCATAGGGGAGTCATTATATTTTATTTGAACATCTGGCTAGAGTGTATTGTCGTGTGGACCACCCCACTCCGCCGTCCTAACAAGGAGAGAGGTATAAATGAGTTTGTTCCATCTGGTGTGAATATGTATGTATGAATATATGTATATATGTGTGAATGGTTAGGACGGTGGGCGTGTCGTAAGCCGCCTGTGGTCGGAGGCTATAAAGCCTGTCACTGTTGGGCGGGTCACTTCCGACGTAATGCCCTCGACGGGTCTGCCGGGGTGACTCTCCTATAGTGCGGAGGATGGTCCAGGAGAGGGGTTTTTTAGCCTGGTATACCCGCTTCACGGGGAGTCCGGGTATATCCTCGGGGTTCGGCTGCCCCGGGTCGAATGCATAAAGCATTTTTCCCCTGCTCTCGAGAAAAAAAAGGCCGCGTATTGAGCGACCGCTTCCTCTCTTCCGAGGCACGAGCTGAGTGCCGATTCCGCCACGGTTCGATGCGTAATGAGCACGAGCCGGTACAAGAACCCGCGAGCTGAGCGGCACCGTCACAACACACCGACCTAACCTCCCGTTCCACACACGTGTCGTAAGCTGTCACCGGCAGCCGCGACGCGCGCCGCGACCGCGTCCGCCGAACCGCGCTTGCGATAACAGCGCGACCGAACCGAGCTTACCGCGCTCGCGCCGCCGAACGCCGATACCGAACATACCGCGCTCCCGCCGCCGAAACCGAACACACTCGAATCCCGGCCCGCGAATCATATAGTCGTAAGGGTGACGTCCCATGACGCGTATCGCGATACGCGCGTATCGGGCGTATCAAACTTCACGACCAATCACGGACGATCCGCCGTTTTCGATACGCCGAATTTGGTTTCTTATGTCACATGGAGCGGATTACGCGGAAGCGGATCAACGGATCGCCAATCACAGGACTGTTACGACGGAATTTTTTAAAGAGTTCTATCAGAATTGTCCCGTGATTGGCAATTCGCTCATTCCGCTTCCGCACAATCCGCTCCATGTGACATAAGGGACCAAATTCGGCGTACTGAATACACACAAGCAGATATATATATGAATACATCAATCACTACTTGGCAATGCTGCTGAACTAAGATCGGAATTATATTCTAGTGGCAGTAAGAACAAAAACCTTTATGGAAAAAATTCTTAATAACTTGGGAGGTAGGCGTTTATAATTTGTGCATGAACGTGTGTGCGTGCACGTGCGTGTGTGTATACTGTCTTTTGGATGTTTTTCTGTCAGAAGTTTCATTCCTAGTCATGTTTAATAATATAAAAAATTTACTGCGAAAAATATTACCTCAATCAAGGTTTGAACCTGAACTTTGGCTTAATGTTAATTAATGTCAAGTTTATTTTTGCTTTACAGTAAGCATTTATTAAATTTTAAATTGTTTATTATTATATCAATTTAATTAAATATGGAAATTATTCTTTTTATAGCAAAAAGAATGGATTCAGAAAGTGTATTACTTGCTGTTTGCTGTTTAGTAAATAAATTAAAACGATCGAGGCACAATATTTTTTATCAGAAAGAATTACGGCGTAAAATATTTCTATTATTTGCGCTTTACTCAACTGTAGTAAGCAAAGAGAAGTCTAAGAAAATGCGTCGATATTGGGTGAGACCTTTATTTTCTGAACATCGGCGATTGTTACAAGGAGCGAGTAAGAATCTTGTAAAAGAAATGGAAACTGAGGACAAAGGAAAATTTATCAATTATTTCCGAATGGATCCTATAATATTCAAAGAATTACTTAAAATCATCGGTCCATTTATAGTTAAACAACATGTTATACGAGAACCAATTCCTCCTGAAACACGTTTGCATATAACACTTCGATATTTGGCATCAGGAGACAGTATGGCGTCTATCTCATATGCCTATCGACTTGGCCATAATACTGTGTCGAAAATAATATCAGAGACCTGCGAGAAAATATGGAATATTTTAAAGGAAACAGTGTTTCATTATGACAGTCCAAAGAATTGGGAAAAACTTGCTGACGAATTCGAGCAACTTTGGAATTATCCAAATTGTGTAGGCTGTATTGACGGAAAGCACATTGCACTGCAGGTATATAAACAAAGGTTTTTTCTTATAAATTTTGATTAAAATAACTAACTACACACTACGTATTTATACTTCATATCACACGAATAATTTATTATAAGGAATATTAGTCAAAGTATGTTGGTTTATAATTATTGTGAAGTACCTTTTCTTATTAATGTTCAATGAATGATATAATTATATACATATACAATTTTTGAATACAGGCTCCGCCAAATAGTGGCTCAACATATTTCAATTATAAGAAATACCATAGCATAATTTTGTTGGCGATAAGCGATGCAAAATACCGTTTTACTATGGCCGACATTGGTGCAGAAGGGAGACAAAGCGATGGGGGAGTTTTTAAAAATAGTGATATAGGAAGACATTTTGAGGAAGGTACATTCAAGTTACCAAATGTTAAGCCTGTCGAAAGTAGTGGACCAGCATTGCCTTATGTGTTGTTAGCCGACGAGGCCTTTCCATTAACAACGTATATGATGAGACCGTATCCGCGAAGTAGCAGTTTGGATCTGAGGAAGAAAGTTTTCAATTATAGACTCAGTCGAGCAAGACGGGTTGTCGAAAGCGCTTTCGGGATTTTAGCAGCAAGATGGAGGATTTATAGAAAACCTATAATTGCAAGTGTTGCAAATGCACGAAAAATTGTTCAAGCAACAATCGCCCTCCACAATTTCATCATTATTAATGAGGAAAAATTGCTTTCAAAAAATATATATGCACATATAACTCCAGAAGATCGCAATATCATTTCTCAAGGATTTAGCTCATTGCCAGTTACTAGAGGCAAATTCGTTAAGAATGGTATCGAAATTCGAAATGCTTATGCAGATTTCTTTGTTGGCTCTGGTGCAGTGCCATTTCAGTGGCAGAAGGCAATGGATAATGACTTTTGAGGTATACTATTTGAGATTACTTTTGAGATATACTATTTGACAATAACCTTTTTTGTGATGAACTATTCATACATAAAAACTTTACTGCGTGTATTATACATAAAACTATAAACTACGTAAATACATATCACAGATCAATAATAGTTATTAAAAAAAAATTTCAAAGTAGAGATAAGTTTTGTTCCAATTCAAACAGTTGCGATAGAATTTGTATTTCAAATTGATTTCTTTCACGTAATGGAAGAGCTCGTAATCTGTCTCCTATTTGGAGTAAAAATCCATCGACTGCATCTGGTTTTCTCACGGGTTCACTTTCTAGGGCTGATAATATAGCTTTTGTTACATCTGAGGTATCATGCACCTTTACTTCTTAAAAATAATAAAATATTAACGTCAATACATTATAGATATATCAGAAAGTTAATATATAGTTAATATAAATCATGTATTTGATTTGAATTAGATTTTTAATTTATTACTAAAACTTTTATTACTAAAACTACTATTATCTAGCATTTTAAGCAAAAATAATTGCATAAATAAATAATACTAACTTTTTTTCTGTTGCAAATTCTGTTGTTGACTCCATGATTGGGGGAAAGAGTCACTTGCCCTTGATTTCTCACTTTCATTAGAAGAGTTTGATGTTTGTGGTACTGTAATCTGTACAGGATTTTCAATTACTGTACCATTAGCAATAGTTTTATCCGGCAAACTGATGACAGTCCTGTAAAATACAATACATTATATTCTTATTTTTTACATATTACAGACCAATAAATATTAGATAAGCAAATATAATACATACGATGATTTCCCTACAACATCGTCAAGAAATTTCATTTGGTTATATAAGCTGAATCCTAGTTTTGAAATTTTCGAGAATTTTGCAGCTGATCCGCTTGGAATGTATTCGGTTTCTTTACGTTTTGCTTTCACATAACTGTCGCGCAGTTGCTTCCATCTTTTCTGTATCGAGTCTAAATTAGTTTCTTCTTCTGTATTAAAAAAAATAAACGAGTATATTTTTATCTCTTCAGATTATTTTATTAATTATTGGCGAAAATAAAAATCGGAGCGTAAGGCAAGCATAAGTAGAGACTGCCAGAAAAGTAAATGAAACTCCTAGGAAGCATAAATTGAAACAACGGAATGTAAAAGAAGCATTTTAAGAAGTTAACGATTTTTTACGTTTTGCTGTTTCAATTTATACTTCTTAGGAGTTTCATTTACTTTTCTGCCAGTCTTTACTTACACTTGCCTTACGCTGCAATCTTCATTTTCGCCAGGATTATAATTTTAAACACAATCAAATAAAATTTTCAACTCGACCGTACCTGGCTATGTGTTGAAAAACACATACATACAATTCATTGCGAAAAATATTACCTCAGCCAGGGTTTTATTTTTCGCAATGAATTGTATGTGTTTTTCAACACATAGCCAGGTACGGTCGAGTTGAAAATTTAATTTGATTGTGTTTATCTTACCCTGGTGATTTTCAAAAATTAATTCTTGATAATTATAATTTTAATTCCTGATAAAAAATAATAAATAATAATTATGTCTGAGTTTATTTAATTACCACATATTTACACGAATAAGAAGAAAGTAAATTACAAAGAAATAAATTTAAAGAAATAGACTAATTTTAATTCAAAACAAAATTTAAAAAATTCTTATTTCGACAATTCGATTAAATTAATTTTTGTTTGATGAATATATAGAATACTCAAAATTGGATGGTATATGTTGAATGGTATAAGTTATATGTAGAACATACAAAGTTGGATGATATAGTATATCCTATAAGTTACATACCTCCCAAGTCATTAAGGACTTCTTTCCATAAAGTTTTTTTTTCAAACTTGTCCTTTCTTTTACCGGAATTCGATGATCATATAATGCTGATCTTGCTTGGACTGCAGCTATGAGACGTTCGTTATAATCTTCTACATCAATGTTTATTTGATTCGTTGATGATTTATCCTCTGAATCAATGTTTATTTGATTCGTTGATGAATTATCCTCTGAATCAGTGTTTATTTGATTCGTTGGTGACTGATCCTTTTCAACTGTTAAAATTTATACGTATATTAAAACTGACACTTGTATGGATAATAGAGCTACAAATTGTGATTGATGCACTTGTTATTAAAACTACTTACCAATCGTTACAATGTTACAGTCGTTTATATGTAACAAATGTATATCTGAGTCAAAAAATTGAAAACATTTATGGTTTAATAAGCTTGTGTGCACACATTGTACGATCCGACCACAATATCCACATTTTACAGGCTACAAACAAAATTAATACAATAATTAAACCACGTAGAAGAATTGCATGACGACCAATGGCTGGCAAATTCTAATTAAAGAAATTCATTGCGAAAAATATTACCTCAGCCAGGGCTTGAACCTGGACCTCCCTCTCGCTAGGCGGGCGTCTCAACCAATTGCCTCAGTGGTCGAATTGGTTGAGACGCCCGCCTAGCGAGAGGGAGGTCCAGGTTCAAGCCCTGGCTGAGGTAATATTTTTCGCAATGAACTTCTTTAATTTGAATTTGCCAGCCATTGGTCGTCATGCAACTCTTCTACGTGGTTTAATCATTTACTGGCGATGAATAATTCTTTACGTGTTAATACAATACTATTTCATCTTCCTCATATTACTGGTTACTCATTTTCATAGCTGTCGAGTTCAAATAATGGTTGATATGTCATATCGTCAGCCTAATTAGAAAACCTTCTGACCTCAATTTTTGACAAAATTTAGATATTTATTTCGATCAACTTATCTCGAGATTTTGTACTGTTTAGAAAAATTTCCTGTAAAATTATAATTTAGTGAGTTAGGCTTTCTAATTAGGCCGATGATATAATTAGCGCGTGTTATTTCATATTAAATACATAAGATAATGCACGAATGTATTATAATAAGATGGAAGAACAAACTGATTCGTGCACACTTCTAACCTCAAAATTGTATATTTAATTTATAATTATAATTCTGTCTCGGCAACTTATGTGTGTATTAATTTATCTAAAACTTAAATAATATTATTTAAAAAATATTTACCGGGGTTGTATTTTCCTTATTTTCCATTTTATATGTTTGTCAGCTGTCCGTTGTAACGGTGTACGCATACGCTCCGCTCAATTAGAACTTTAGCGGATCGTCGGCGTATCAAAAACGGCGGATCGTCCGTGATTGGTCGACGAGTTGATACGCCCGATACGCGCGTATCGCGATACGCGTCATGGGACGTCACCCTAACGTCTCAGCAGCGCAGCGCGCCAGCATTCAAGTACAAAGATCGCCGCCGAAGCGGACTTAGATTATAAGCGATTAGTATTAAGTATTAGTATTAAGTGTTGCGAGCGATAGTATTAAGGAATAGCTGTAAGTACGGAGAACTAGAATAAAATAGTCTTTTACTGAAATTATAAGTCTCATCCTTCACTCTTCGACCAGCCCACCGACCGAACCTTGGAATCTCCAGGCTATCCGTAGCTCAAAAATTCCAATGTTACAGTACTACATATAATCTTATTAATTTACTCATTGTATTCGCGCTATGTCAAAATAGCGCGAATACAATGAGTAAATTCCTCCCGACATAACGGACATTTTTTTATTTCTAACCGTTGTTCGCAGTCATTACAAATACACAAGTGCCCGCATGGCACAAACATACGAGTTGCAGTTATATTTCAGCATATACAACATGCACCGCTTATGGGGAGAAAACTAAGTAGAAGCACGAAAATAAGCGATTTTTGAACAATTTTTTTAGAGGTAATAAAATAATCGCATCAATTTCAACTTTTGGCATACTTTAATTATAGGTGTCAAGTACTAAAAAAATTTTTTTACAAAAGAAAATGGCGGCGTTACAGGCTTCACAATTTGGCATCTTTTGCGCGAGGTGGAAAAAGGCTGCCATCGTCACGTTTTTTGTAGCGGTCTGAAACAAAAAACAAAAAAATTTTTCGATTACTTATGAGTTTAGGCGAAGGATATACCTATAAGATTATAAAAAAGTGCAAAATTAAAAATTTGGTAGGCATTAATCAAAAAATTCAAATTTTCGATACTATTTTTTCTACACTGTTTAATCCAAAAAAGTAATTTATTTACGCGATATCCTTACAACTTTAGGTATATCCTTTCGATAATATTATAGACTAAAACCTCTCCAAATTTCAGCCCGATCGATCAACAACTTTTTGAGCTACAGTGGCAGCAGTTTTTGAAAATGCAGTTTCGAGATAATCGCATTTAAAGTTTCACTACGATAAAACTATTAGTTTTAGTGACTTACCGCTCAATCAGCAATTCCAGGCCCATACAATAGTCCTTCAGTTTCCTCGAAAAATGTATTATTTTCCAGTTGGAGTTGTTTTCGGGCTGTACGAACAATTTTTTTGCACTTGCACTCACACCGTCGTCACTTGAACTCATCTCGAAATTTTCACCGCTGCTGGTTGCAAATTGATTCCCTTGAAAATGTCTTTTCTTAGGATGGTTTCGAGCGATGTTACCTCGCGATCCTTTAGGATAGTTTGGCATTTTAAATTCAGATATCACGAGACACGGTAGTGTCTCGCGCCAAGTATAAGCGACTAAGTATAAGCGACAAGCCTAACCACGCGCGCGACACCACCGTGTAAGTTTACGCGAGTACACGAGTTGACGGGCCCTCAGATTTTCGGACC